AGGGGCACTTGGGGCCCTCAAGTCTCACCAAAGGCATGGCTATGTCACAAACATAGGACTTGCATGAATCTGGTACCCACTCAGGGACATTTTTCCTGTACAATCCACGTGCAGGAAATTCTGGGATCTTTCAATTTTGAAATTACACCCAGAAAAAAGAGATGAATCAGGGGAAACCTTATAGAAAGTGTTGCCTGACTTGGTTCCTCAACCAACAAGAAGTGAACGTACTGTGGCAACACAAAGACACCGCCAGGACCCATGTGAAAATCAGGACTTTCTCTGCCTGATACCACCAGATGTCTCCTCCCTGGGGCCTGAAACAGAGACAGAGATATGTGAGAGCATTCCAGGGACATTTTTACCTTGTTTATAAAGTCTTTCTTCTGCTCAGAGAAGACACGGCCACTTGGACATCCTATAACAAAGTTTTCTTTGGCTAATATGAGCCCCTCAGCTTTTCAGGCAGAAGCTGCACAGCTCAGAGTTGACAAGGAGCAGTAACTGCCATGTGTTGCCCCATGCAAGCTGCTGTCTCTCAGGTTCCCAACAGGAATATGGGGAACTGAAGCCGCTGCGCCTGCTGCCCCAGCATCCCAAACGTGGTCCAAGAAGTTGATTCGAAAGCAGTGAGATCACCCCGTGGCTGTTAACACACGGGGGAACTAAACCTTGGCTTTCTGTGAAGGGTGAAGTAGGATGGGACATCCAATGGGCATGTCCCCATGTCTTGGACTGTTTCCCTAGACAGCGTCTGCTTTTGAATCCGTCGAAGCCCCACCATTATCATTTCTAGGACAGACAGTGGGATGCTGGGCTAGGTAGAACCTCGAGCTAACTCTAGGTGACTCTTCCTGGATCCTCCTATGTCAGCTAGACCACTGTGTAGGAGAACAGAACGCTACAGAGCTGGCACTGCTGTAGACCGTGACCGCCCCAGTGGCTGCGGGGGTCCTGACAGGCCACCAGAAATTACTTCAGTCGTCCCTTCACAGGTGTCCAGAAAGACGAGGTGTAGCACAGGGAAGGGATCAACTTACACTGAGAAGGGCTTCCAGCAGCTTTCCAGTGCCATCCACAGCAAGGAGAAAGTCATCAAAAAACCTCATAGCGACTTCCCTGTTTCTTACGGAAAGAATGCCGATGGCCTTGAAGACAAAGTCCGTGTCCTGTCTTTTAGAGGTGGCCCGAAAGAATGATGTCACGGTCTCATATACACAACATTGCACCGTTGTAAAAGGCAGTTGGGCACACACGGAGAGCTCCTCACACCTCAGAGGGACGACTGTTACATCAGCTAGAGAACAGAAAAAGAGGAACAAAGTCACCTCTGCGGCAGGACAGCACAGGCCCCAAGAAGACGTCAGCAGCTTCAGGCAGGACATTGCTCCGGCGCAGTCTGTTGAATCCCGTGCTAACAGCTCCTAAGAGTGCCTGGGGGATGAACACTGTGTGGGAGGGCAGGGGAGACGGGTGCAGATCCCACGACAAAGTCCATGGCGCTCGGCCACAAGCATGCCCACACCCAGGGCACTCCAGCTAAGTCTATGCCAGACTCATGGAGAAGCAACGGAGGAGCAAAATGCAAGGACTGCACATCAGCTTGTAGCATCCTTCTGTCCCCCTGTCCCTCATACCCAGCAAGTGTCCCCGCATGCACCCACCTGACGTTAGAATCACATGGAAGATGGGGTTATGTGAAAGAGAAGAACCCCTCCAAAGACAGACCCAAGCTCTTCCTGCCCCACAGCATCATTCATGTCACGCTGCAGCTGCACTGACCAGAAATCATGGCAGATCTGGCCATCCACGAGTCCTTCCACAAACTCTTGTCCTCGTCTTTGGTTCTGGTCTGTCTACAAGTGACTTGTACCCACTTTGCTCTAGAAGGAGCCTGTAAGAGTCAGCAGAAACTCTGGCCTTTGCCCTTACGAGTAGGTGGGCAGCACCATAAAGGCAGAGCGTGAGCTTTATCTCAGTTTCATTAGAAAAAGCAGCTCCAATAATTACAGTCTGAAAGCAGCAGCCCTAACATTGCGTAACTGTGAATGGTGTGGAGCCAAGCGTGAGAGCAGTTAAAGACGAGATCTAGCTGAAGGTGTATCGTTAAAAAAGGACACCCAAGGAGTCTTTCCGAGAAATTGCTCCTTGGTGGCCTCTTCAGCTTGAACAAGCTGAGGATGTTCTCAGGACGGCTTTAGGCATTCAGTCATGCCGTAACAGCGGTTAGCATACGCCTCAAGGGTGGTGCAAGGGCAAGCAAAGGTTTTAATCCATCTCCTTACCAGGAACACCTTCTCCAGCGTAGCTGAGGTTGCATTCATCTGCAACCACCTTGGACATACGAAACATGGGTCTCTGAACAATCGCAACCTCGCTGTTCACAGTGCACGTGTAGTCTTTAAGAACATAGAATGTCCCGATTCCTAACAGTCGGACACCCTGAGAACAGTGGAGGTAAAAAGAAGGAACAATTGTAAGTACCCTGGAGAGGAAAACACTCGCCAGCGACTTGTCAGAGCATGGGGATGCTGCCTTGTGCCTTGCCCACCCCGAGCCTACGAAGGGCAAGATGGGACGCTGAGGAGGCTCTGGGGAGAAAGCACATACTCCAGGCTTGTTTTGCTCTTTTCTCCTCTGCTCTGCTCAAGAAAGCTATTGGGAAAAGTAACAGCAGAGCCAACAGCCCTCCCCTAGATATAATCGGAGGGGTTTCCAACAACAAGGAGATACCCTTAAAAAGGTACCAGGGTATGGTCTTCCCATTCTGGCAGCGTTGATGAGACGTCCCAGAAAGTGCTTAACACTTTCTTCTACTTTATCTGGACCGTCATTTTTATCGCGGGTGCCAGGGAAGCTGGGCTGTGCCACGTTTGCCGACAGCAGTGTCCTGCCAGGCGACCGTTTCTGCTTTCAGAGCAGGGAAGCGATGGCACTCGATGGCACAGCGTTGTCCGGACAAGGCAAGCTCTCAGGGTTTCACGAGGGGAGGACGGGATGCAAGACTCACCCTGTCCTGTGCCAAGTGCTGTCTAATGCATTCAGACACGCTATCCCAAATCGTAAGGATCTCTGGAAAGCAAGCGAACGATGCGTCATGCTCCAAGTCAGCGAGCTCATAACCCTTCAGCACACTCTTACCCAAGGAGATGATGAGTGAGATTAAACGTTTTGCCACCCCAATTAAGAACACGTAAGGTGCTCCACATGACAGGAGATGTAGGAAATTGGGAACAGACGTCCACACCGGTGAGAGGATGGTGTGGTGCCCACAGAGGGCTCGGAGGCTCAGGGGACCCCCAGGTATCTCCCCTGCAGGGACCACTGTCAGCCCTCTCCGTGCTCATCGACTCCACACGGCCACCGTGGCCGGGAGCTCTGGGAGGGCAGTCCCCTCTGCAAGGCAGTCCCCTCTGCAAGCAGCAACCTTTGGTGTTAGGGGCTTCGACCTGGGGAGTGGGCAGCAAGGCAGGGGCAGAGGAAGGTCCTCAGGAAGAGGACCCAGGAGCCCTAGCTGCCAAACTGATCCTGAACTAGGAAGGGATGATCAGACAGGGCTCTTGTTGCACCCATCAGCCCTGCCCAGTCCTTCTCCAAAGGCCCCCACGTTTCCACAGCTACTTTCATAGCTAATATTGTCTACGACATTCAGAAAATAACTCCTGCAAGCCTCACCCCCAGGGGTGAGATTCTTGAGCGTTGGAAATGCATCTGGCCACAGGTTTTCCATCTTCGTCCCCCCCTCCTCCCTCTTGGATTAACACTTGTAGCAGGACGGTGAGAAGGAATCATCTCCTCCACAATCTCCACCTCCTTCTTTGACTTCACCAAAGGGCCTCCAGCCCTGTCCTGATGTGGAATGTCCCACTGTGACCCCAGACCATGTCACAGAGGGACTGCAAGGGCTCCCCTGACCTCCCTTAGCCTCCCCCCAGATCCTGCCAGGTTTTGCCCTACAAGAGGGAGGGGAGGCGTGGTGGGTGTTGTGGGGTGCTATCCCCATCTCACCGCCCACTCCCCAAGGAGAATGGGGGGGGCATTGAGAACTATGGAGGGGGGTGTCACCAGGCGGGGGCTCACCTTGTGCACTCCAGATGCGCTGGTCAGCTCGTTGGTCCCAACTGGAGAGGCTGTGCCACCACTGCTGGTGTGGGGCTGCTCCCACGGCGGCGTTCCAGCTTCTGGGATACGGACAAGGCTCGGAGACCGATGCACACAGCAGCATCCCCAGTCCTGGGACAACGGCAGGGCTCGGGGACCCCTTTACGGCATTTCGCTTTATGTGAGGGAGCAGCAGGAGTGCATGGAGCTCTGCCTGGGGATGGGTGACGAGCCAACTGGGAGCTTATGGGTCAGGATTAAGGAGACCGGGATGTGTGTCAGTGTAGTGGGTGTCTGTTGTAGGCTGCCTGATCAGGAAGAGCAAGTGCATGAGGCCTTCTACAGACAGAAGTAGCCTCACGTTTGCAGGTCCTGGTCTTCCTGGGGGATTTCAACCACCCTGATATCTGCTGGAGGGACAACGCAGCAGGGCATAAGCAACCCAGGAGGTTCCCAGAGAGCATCGGTGACAGCTTCCTGACATACACGATAGAGGAGCCAACGAGGAGCAGTGCTCTGCTGGACCTCGTACTTATAAACCAGGAAGGGCTCACTGGGAGGCGTGACTGATGCACCAGAAGGCTGTGCTGCCATTCAGAGGGAGGGCTGTGGGATGAGCCCCTCTGTACCCAGGGACAAAGCCCTACCAGGATGACGACCAGGCCCCTAGTCAGAGGAGATCAGACATTCAGACCAACCTAGCTCAATTCTACGCAGAAATAGCTCTGAGAAGTGCTCTCAAAGCATTGGTGAAGACTCTCACAATGATTGTTAAAAGGAGACCAAGAGGAAGGCTCAAATAGTGCTACTTATTATTTACAGACACAAATTTATTAAGACATAGGCACAACTCGGTGCAGCAGCAAAGGGACCCGCTGCCAGGATCCTGGGCTGGCGTCTCACCAGGGCACAACCTCCCCTTCCCAGTCCAGGAAGGTCCTGGTCGCCTTCTCAGAGAGGGAGGAGAGCACCTTCAGCATCCCTCGTACGCTCTCATCCACCATCACAGGGGGCTGCAGGGGCAGAGGGAGAAACACAATCATGTGCCCAAGGCCTGGCTAAGGTCTGCCCTGGAGCAGATCATTGCTCAGGGCTTGGGGCTCTCTGGCGTGAGTGAGGAGAGGCCAGCACAGGGCAAGAAGAGTTCCCCATCTCTCATCTCCCTCCCTCACGTGCCTCTAGCTCAGAGCATCTGCCAAAGAGCTCTCCCAGAGCCCAGCATGTCCGGGACTGTTCAATCCACAGGAAGCTCTGCATTCCCAAATAAAGAGGTTCTTCCAGACCTTGGCCAAAAGCTCTCTTACCTTTTGTGATCCGAAGCCCCCCATGTCGGTTTGCACCCAGCCAGGGTGGAGAGCAGCGCAGAGGACGCCGTGCTCCCGGTACCCCAGGGACTGGCACTTGGTCAGCATGTTCAGAGCAGCCTGCGGGGAGACAGGGCAGGGATGGCGGTGGGAGGGGAAGGGTGGCTGCAAGGGGACACGTGCAGACCCTGTAGCTGGGGCAGGGGAGGGCAGGTGGAGCCATCTCTCTGGGGCACACGGTGCTCCTGCACTATCCCCATGCAGACGCCCAGCTGAGGGCCCATCCCAGCACGTGCCTCTGAGGTGGGACCTGGGGCCAGGCACAGCAGCGTGCCCAAGGAGAGA